TTTTTTTTGGTCTTTTTGAGACAGGGTCTCCCTGTAGCCCCAGCTGTCCTGGAACTCACTATGTAGACCAGGCTGACCTCGAATTCAAGGAGGTCCGCCTGCCTCTGTCTCCCAAGTACTGGGATTAAAGGCGTGTGCCACCATGCCCTGCTGAGTCATTGCTATTTTAAAACTGATTAAAATAAACACTATGAAATCTCATCTGGAAAAACAATGTGAGTTTTTTAAACTTTAATCATTAAAAATAAAATCTCCAAGCTTTCAGTAAAAGTGGGTTTTTTGAGGTTGCTAGTCTTACAAGCTTTTGGCAGATATGTGATTTAACTGTCAAAAGTTACTTGTTTGTTTGTCAGGGCTGTAGGAGATGGCACAGCAGTTAAGGATGCTTGCTGCTTTTCCCAGAGACCCAAGTTTGGTTCCTAGCATACATGTCAGGTAGCCCATAATGGCCTGTAACTCAGCTCTAGGAGCTCTGATGCCCTCTTCTGGCTTCTGCAGGCACCTACACTCATAGGTACATACCTGCACACAGAGACATACACACAATTTAAACTGAAAACAAAATCTTTAAAAAGTTGCTTGGAGGTAGGTGAAGAAGATACCTTGGTAAAAATTTCTCTTAGAAATTATAATTTTGTTTTTATAACAGTCATGCTACGTTAAAATGAAAAGACATACTCTTCTTTAAGAACTTATTTTTGGGGGACTGGAGAGTTGACTCAGTGGTTAAGAGCACTGGCTGCTCCTGGAGAGGACCTGGATTCGATTCCTAGTTCCCACTTGGTAGCTAACCACCATGCATAACTCCAGTTCCAGGGGAATCCAGCACCCTCTTCTGACCTCTGTGAGCATTGTATGACATTGGTGCACTTACACAGATGCAGGCAAGAGCATCTCTTAACCATTGAGCCATCTCTCCAGCTCCACAATTTAAATTTTTTTTTTTTTTGAGATAGGGCCTCTCTGTAGCACCAGCTGGCCTGAACTCATTATGTATACCAGGCTGGCCTTGAACTCACAGCAATCCACCTGCCTCTGTCTTGTGAGTGCTGGGACTAAAGGTGTGTGCCACCATGCCCGGTTCCCAGTTTTAATTTAATTTATTATTTTTATTTTATGTGTGTGGGTGTATTGCCTGCATGTAAGTAAGTGCACCCGTGTTGTGCAATGCCCATGGAGGTCAGAAGATGCTGTCGGATCTCCTAGGACTGGAGTTACTGACAGTTGTTAGCTGCCATGTGGGTGCTGGGATTCGAACCCGGGTGTTCTGCAAGAACAACCAGTGTTCTTAACCCCTGAGCCATCTCTCCAGCTCCCTTTTAAAGTTATTTTTAAAGAAAGTTTCTATTGTCCTATGGTGGCCTGGTTTTCCATCTAAAGATTATAATTGTCAGTAGGGAAAATGTACCCATAAATTTCTTTCCGTTTAAAAAAACACATGAAGTTTCTACAAGTTTTTTTTTTGCACCTTCACTACTGTCTCTCTCTCTCTCAATTACATAATTTTTGAAAAGTTTGTTTTTTTATATTTTATTTATTATTTTTATTTTATGTGTATGTGTGTATTGTCTGCATGAATGTAAGTACACCTGTGTTGTGCAGTGCCCACGGAGGTCAGAAGAGGGCATCGGATCCCCTGGAACTGTAGCTAAGGATAGTTCATTCATAGCTGCCATGTGAGTGCTGGGAATTGAACCTGGGTCCTTGGCAAGAGCACCCAGTGCTCTCAACCACTGAGCCATCTCTCCAGCCCCTCATTCTTTCAGTTTTTAACACAAACACACACACACACACATACACACACACACACACACACACAGAGTTAGTTATTGTGCATATGTTTGTGCATGTCATGGTATAAATGTGGAACTCAGAGGACAGCTTGGGGAATTTAGTCCTGTTTTCCATTATGTGGGTTCTGTGGGTTGACCTCAGGTCTTTAGGCTTGGCAACAAACACCTTTTCCAGCTGAGCTATCTATCCAGCCCTCAATTTATTTATTTATTTATTTATTTATTTATTTATTTATTTATTTGTTTGTTTGTTTGTTTGTTTTATTTTAGTTAGTCAGTTATTTATTTATTTATTTAGTTAGTTAGTTAGTTAGTTAGTTAGTTAGTTAGTTATTGAGACAGGGTCTCCCTGCAGTCCCAGCTGGCCTAGAACTCACTATGTAGATCAGGCTGACCTTGATCTCACAGAGAAATCTGCCTGCCTCTCTGTCTCCTAAGTGCTGGGATTAAAGGAGTGTGCCACTACACTTGGCGCTCCCTTTGTGTATTTTTTAAAGTTAAACTTTTTTCTTATTATTGTGTATGTGTGAGTGCATGATATTTGTGTGTGGACGTGCATACTACAGCTCGTGTGGAGGTTAGTGTGCAACTTTGTGGAGTTTGTTCTTCTACCTTTATGTGGGTTCTGGGGATTGAACCCAGATCACCAGGCTTGGGTGGCAAGCTCCTGAGCCATCTCACTGGCTGGCCTTCTCATGTGGTTTTTTTTTTTAAAACGTATGTGAATGTTTTGCCTGTATGTATATAAGTACACCCATGTTGTGCAATGCCCACAGAGGCCAGAAGAGGGCTTCCAGTCCCCTGGAACTAGAGTTGTGGATAATTTTTAGTTGCCATGTGGGTATTGGAAACTGAACCTGGGTCCTCTGCAAGAGCAGCCAGTGCTCTTAACCACTGAACCATCTCTCTAGCCCTGCATTGGTCTTCAATAGTTCTGCAGGTATATTGGCTTAAAAATTATATTAAGCTGTCATTAAAATCAATTCTTTCCTGTACTAGTCTGTTTTCTGTTGTCAGTAGCACAGTACCATTGATTGTATAAATCGTAAAGAAAAGAAATTTTTGGTCCAATATTGAATGAATGTATCTGATGCTGACATAGTCCTAGGGGGCAGCTCAGAATCCCATCATATGGGGAGAGATAGGGAACACACTTCTTTTTTCACCCTTTTCTTAGCCTCTAGTATTTAGTCATGATGCCTGTACCCTAATGCCCTTACCTGATCCTACCACCTCCTAAGAACCTTGCCTCTAATACTACAATCAGATTGAATTTCTGTCTTCTTAAACTCACAATAGAAATTAAGTCAGTATGAATTTTGTAGAGGACAAATCATATTCAAACAATAGCATTTCTTTTTATGTTCAACTTTTGTGCATTTCAAGAGATACTCATTAGCTTAAAAATGATTTTCTAGCCCTATAGAAAAACATAATTAAATTATTTTTCCCCTTTGAACAATAGGATATCGCCCACCACCATTTTCAGAAAAATTCTTTTTAGTAGTCATTGAGAAGAACAGCAATAATTACTCTATTCTCCATATGTGGCACCTTCATCTTAAATCTGTACAAGCATGTTTAGGTAAGTAGTCATGTTACCATTTTATACAGAGATGATGTAAGATAGTTCATTTTATAGAATATGCTTTATATTAGTTAATTCTTTAAAATGAAGCCTTGTAATGAACTCTAAATGGAATTGATGAATTAAAATATGTCTCCCAAACTTATTTACTTATTTATATATTTATTTTGATTGCTTTTTTTGTTGTTGGGTTTTTTTTTTTTTTTTTTGAGACAGGGTCTCATGGTGGTAGCCCAGACTGGAATAACACTCAAGATCTTCCTGCCTCAGCCTCTTGAGTGTTGGAATTGGAAGATAAGTACAACCATGCCTGGTATCTGAAACAGACTGATCCTGAAAATAAACCAGTCTATGGGCACATTGGACATAATGAAAAAATTAAAAGCTTGACGGAGTTGTTTTTGTCAGTTAATGTTTATTGAGTATCTGTTATGACTCTCTGGATGATGTGTCTGTAAATCAGCTTTGCCCATATAGTCAATGTAATGTACTTTTATAGACTCCTGCACATTATTGTCTGATACAGTATACATCAGCTTAGCATCATTATGAGAAACAGAATTGCTATTTGATAAAATATCATTGAACACCTGAAACTTATGAGCAGAATGGTTTTAGGGAGCTTTAAAGAAAATACAATATTATGGATGATAAATTATTTCAGCTATACTTTGTTATACACATTCAGATTAATTTTGAAGCAAAGAAATTAAATTTTGTGGGTAGGGTTCAGAAGTTAGCATTCAGTATCTTGTACCTAGGCAAGCACTCTACCATTGACCTACATAGTTAGCCCAGTTTTCTTCATCTTCTTTCTTTTTTGAGACAAAGTCTCATTATATAACCCAGGCTGGCCATGAACTCACTCTGTAGACCTTACTGAAGACTTATTTTTAACTTTATTTTTGAACTTCATTTTCTGAGATTGTTAAATTTCTGAATTTTCTGAATTGTTAAAGAATTGCATGCTAAAACAAAGTACTTAAGATCTGTACAACAATTTTACTGTTTGTGGTAATTATATTACAAAACAGTTTTGAGAACATTAAATATATTATAGTCAACCAATAATAATAGGTATTATTTCCTTTTGTTTTTCACATTATCATGTAATTGTAGGTAGCAGTTCTAACTAAAATGTAAATGACATTTTTAATATGAAATGTCATTTTAAAAGCCAAATGATTTAATAGAACCGTTATCTGACCCTATTTGAGCCTAAACTACCTGAAGCACCAGGAATTAAACAAAATTTTCCAAAATATAAGAGTAAGGATGTCAAACCAGCTTGTCAAGAAGAAATTCTTAAAGATTTTTTTCCTTTGATTGGTTTATTTGAGTGTTTACCTGCATATTTGTAAATGTACCTGTGTGTGCAATGCCCACAGAAGACCAGGAGAGTTTGTTGGATCCTGGGATCTGGGGTTACAGACAGTTGTTAGTTGCTATATGGGTGCTAGGAACTGAACTCAGGTCCTCTGCAGGAACAGTCAGAGCTCTTAACTGCTGAGCCATCTCTCCAGTCCCTGGAAGAAATTCTTAACCAACCAGAGGATACAAATTGAGTTCATAATGAGGGATGGCTCTGAAGAGACTTATAGAAGCAGTGATCAATCCTTATGATAGGAGAACTGCATTCTTTGCACGCTGCTGTTTATGAGGGAGCATCTTGCTGCCATTCCCCTAAAGTTAGGCCTAGTGTTGCTTGTCTGCCGTTTATGACAGTAGAAAATCACAGACATTGAGTTGATAGGATAGCAGTCTTTTTCTTATCCATATTTTATTTCTTTTTTAAAAGTTAAAAATAAAATTTATTTTATATATATATGAATATTGCTTGCATATATGTGTATCCGAGTCGTGCAGTGCCCTTAGAGATCAGAAGAGGGCATCAGATCCCCTGGTACTGGAATTATGGATGGTTGTTAGCCACCTTGTGGGTGCTGGGAATTGAACATGGGTCCTCTGCAACAACATCCAGTGCTCTTAACCTCTGAGCCATCCCTCCAGCCCCCATATTTTCTTTCTTAGCACAAGGTATAATTTTAGACAGTTGCCAAGCTTATATGAAGAGAAGTAATATAATTTAACTTCATTTTGCTGATGAGAAAATAGGTGGTGATGTTGACATGCCAGAATTAGGATTCCATCCTTCTGTTGCTGTGTGTCTGTAGTCTTTGTTTTTTGTTTTTGTTTTTTAAAGAAAGAAGGGTTTATTTTGGTTCACAGTATGAGGGGATACAATCCATGACAGCACAGAAGGCTTGGTGGTAGTAACATGAAATGGTTAATCACATTGTGTCCATTCAGGAAGCAGCAAGAAATAAATGGTGCTCAGTTGACCTCCCCCTTTTTCCTTTTTCATTCAGTTTGGAAGCCCAGTCCATGGGATGATACCACTGGCATTCAGGATGAGTCCTTCATTCTTAAACCTCTACAATGGCACACAGCTTTAATTCTGTAACTCAGGAAGCAGGGGTGAATAGATCTCTGAGAGTTCATGGTCAGGTGATCTACCTAGCAGTGCTAGGCAAGCCAGGTTACATAGTGAGATCTGTTCACTCTCCTAGGCCACTTGTTTGGTTTAATATCTACCTCGTAGAGGTAGACATCAATCTTTGGAATTTCAACTTGAAAACAGCCAGTAATTTAATGGGCTTGCCCACAGTGCCATAGCCAGGTCTTTGGGGTACTGTGAGTAGGGGCTGGGCCCCAACGGGTACTGTGGAGCTGATTTCCATTCATGGATCTGTAAGGAGGGCTTCGAGCAAGAATAGCACCCACCGCTGAGGCGACTGGGCGACCACTGCACTCTGAGAGCTGCCGGCCGACAGCCTGTGACTCTTATCTGTAGTCTTATTCCATTTTATGAAAATGTTTTCATATTGAATGACTTGCCATTATAAGATAGATTATAACGTTTAATATCAATAATGAGAATGAAAAAATTTTTTGAATTTTTGTGTATTTCATACAGAAAATCATCTTTATACCCTCTTCCCCTTTGCTACCCTTCCCGTACCCCCGCCCCCCCCGGCACTGGAGTTTATACATTCTATCATTTGTGTTATGTTAAGGCCTCTCATATGAAGTTAGTATCCCCAGATATTAAAGTTCATCTACTGGGATCTAGTCAGCCTATCTAGAGTTCCTCCGTTTAAGAAGATTGGGATGAGTTCTTTGGGTATATGCCAAAGAGTGGTATAACCAGGTCACATGATAGGTTCAGTTTTGGTTTTTTTGTTGTTGTTGTTTGTTTGTTTGTTTGTTTATTTGCTTTTGGTCTTTTTGAGACAGTGTCCCAGCTGATCTGGAACACACTATGTAGACCAGGCTGGTCCGAATTTACAGAGATCTGCCTGCACCACCACGCCTGGCCAGTTTTAGTTTCTCAAGAGTTCTCCACTCTGCTTTCCATAGGGGTTGCAGGAGTTTGCAATCCCACCAGCTGTGAATGAGCGTTTTCCTTTCTCCACACCCTTGCCAGCATTTGGTATCATTTGTTCTCTTGATCTTAGATCTTAGCCAGTCTGCCTGGGGTAAGATGAAATCTTAAAGTGTTTTTCATTTGCATTTCCCTAATTACTAATGATGTTGAACAGTTTTTAAGATGTTTCTTTGCTATTTTTATTTCTTTTGAGAACTCGCTGTTTAGATCTTTAGCCCATGTTTTAATTGGGTCATTTGTTTTCTTGATTCTTTGTTTTTTCTTTTTTTTTTTTTTTGAGTTCTTTATATTTTCTGGATGTTAAACCTCTATCAGATATGTCACTGGTTAAGATTTTTTCCAGTCAGTGATTTTTCTCATCACTTTCTTGATTGTTTCTTTTGCTGTACAGAAGCTTTTAGTTTGATGAGGTCCTACTTTTTGACTGTTGACCTTAATTCCTGAGCAACTGGTGTCTGATTTAGAAAGTCCTTTCCTATACCTATATCTTGTAGGTTACTGACAATATTTTCTTCTAACAGCTTCAGAGTTTCAGGTTTCACATTGAAGTCTTTGATCCATTTGTAGTTGACTTTTGTGCAAGGTGAAAGATAAGGATCTAGTTTCATTCTTCTATAGGTGGAGATCCAGTTTTGCCAGCACCATTTGTTGAAGATGCTGTCTTTCCTCCATTGTGTGTCCTTGGAACCTTTGTCAATATCAGGTGGCTGAAATTGTGTGTACTCATGTTTGGGTCTTCAGTTACATTCCATTGATCTACGTGTCTGTTTTTGTGCCAATTACCATGCTGTTTTTATACTTTACCTCTGTAGTATACTCTGAAATCTGGTATAGTAATCCCCCCAGCATTGCTCTTTGTGCTCAGGGTTGCTTTGGCTATCTGAGGTCTTTTGTGCATCCATATGAATTTAAGGATTTTTTTTTCTAATTCTGTGAAGTCTGCCCTGGGGATTTTGATTTTGCGTTGCTTTTGGTAGGGTGGTCATTTTCACAATATTAATTCTTCCAATCCATGAGCTTCTACCTTCTGGTATCTTCCTCAGTCTCTTTCTTTAATGATTTAAAAATCTCATTGTAAAGATCTTTGGTTTATTCTTAGATTTTTTTTTTTTTGAGACTATTTTGAATGAGAGCGTTTCTCCATACTCTTTCTCTGATTGCTTGTTATTGGTACATAAAGGCTACCGATTTTTGTAGATTAATTTGTAACCTGCCACTTTATTGACAGTATTGGTCAGTTCTAGGAGTTTTCTGGTGGAATTTTTGGGATTTCTTAGGTATAGTATCATATCATCTGCAAAAGGATAATTTGACGTCTTCTTTTCCAATCAGTAATCCTTTAATTTCTTTCTTCTTTCTTATTGCTCTAGCAAGAGTTTCAAGCACTATATTGAAAAGAAGTGGAGATGGTGGACATCCTTGTCTGGTTCCTGATTTTAATGGGAATGCTTCCAGCTTTTTTCCATTTAGAATGATGTTGGCTGTGGGTTTGTTGTATATGGCTTTAATTATTGAAGTATGTTTCTTCCAGTACAGCTCCCTTTAGGACTTTTTTCATGAATTTTGTCAAAGGCCTTTTCTGCATCTATTGAGATGACCATGTGATTTTTGTCTTTGAATCCATTTATGTGATTTATGATGTTTATTGACTTGTGTATATTGAACCATCCCTGTGTCTCTGGAATAAAGCCTACTTGATCATGGTGGATGATCTTTTTGATGTGTGTCTGTATGTGGTTTGCAAGTATTTTTTTTTTTTGAGTTTTTTCTATGTTCATTAAAGATATGGGTCTATAGTTTTCTTTTTTGGTTGTGTCTGTATCTGGTTTTGGTATTAGAGTGATGCTGGCTTCATAGAAGGAATTTGGGAGTTCTCCCTCTGTTTCTATCTTTTTGAATAATTTAAGTAGTATTGGATATAGATCTTCTTTAGCTGTGTGGTAGAATTCTCTGGGAATCTGGGCCTGGGTGAGGAGAATTATTTCTGGAGTGTCTTGGGGCTTATTGAGATGCCTAAAACAATAGGGGATCCTCCCTGCCCTTGATAAAGTTCTTGATATATAATGGGTAAAGGCAGACACACAAATAAACAATTTGAAGTTTCTTTTACTCATAACAAAAGTACAGATAGCTGAAATCTGTTTAGATTCTTCTTTGGAAGAAGATGAAGATTAACATGCCTTATAAAGCTTGTCATTTCATACTGTCTTAAATCTGCCTGGAACTTTGGTATTTTTCTTGAAATTATTATGTTGTTTGAACACTTGATAGTCAAGAGGATAACTAATTAGATGGCCTTAGAAAAATCATAGACCTTGCTCAAGTTTAAATTTCTTAAGGCAGTAAAGTTTGACTCATGCTTTTTCTGTTTAAGAAATACCTAGGTTGCCAGGCATGGTGGCCCACAGCTTTAATCCCAGCACTCAGGAGACAGAGGTAGGGCAAGCGAATCTCTGTGCATTCAAGGCCAGGCTGGTCTGCATAGGGAGTTCCAGGCTAGCTGATAGGGAAACCCTGTCTCAAAAAGACAAAAAACTTCAAAAACACCCCCCCCAAAAAACCCCAAACCTAGGTTGCTTATAACATTTATTTATTTATTTATTATACACACACATAAAAGTTTTTAAAAACTTAGTAAATGACACCGAAGGCAAACTTTAATTAATTAATTAATTATTTATTTATTTATTTATTTATTTATTTATTTATTTAGTGTATGTGTGTATGTGTGTATGTGTGTATGTGTGTGTGGTCATAGGACAACTTGTGGAGTTGGTTTTCTCTTTCTACCATGTGGAACCTGATGATTGAACTTGGGTGATCATCAGGCTTTCAGCAAGTGCTTTTCTTTACCTGCTGAGCAAACTCACTAGCCTACTAGGTTGCTATTAAAAGTACAGATTGCTGAGATCTGTCTCAAGTCATTGTAATGAGCATCTCTGGGTTTAGGCATGGGAATTTGTATGCTAATGCATTCCTTAACCCTTTAATGTGTTTTAAAGTTTAAGAATGCTGGACTGCATAACCAAAGGCTTTTAGTTCTCCCATGTTGTGATTCTCTCCTTACAGTATCCTTGTGAAAAAGTTGTTCATGATGAGAAGGAACCAAATAGTTAAAAAAGTATGTATTCATCGCTGGGCGTGGTGGTGCACGCCTTTAATCCCAGCGCTCAGGAGGGAGGCAGAGGCAGGCGGATCTCTGTGAGTTCAAAGCCAGCCTGGTCTACAAAGTGAGTTCCAGGGCTACAGAGACCTCTCAAAAAAACCAAAAAAAAAAAAAAAAAAAGTATTTATCAAGATAACCAAGAAAAAGTCTGACATTTGTCTTCCTGGCAGTAGAAGCACTTCTAAGAAGCTGCATTTCTTAAAGAATAGTAAATTAAGGCTAGGTGGTGCATGCTTTTAACACCAGCACACAGAAACAGGTGGATCTCTGTGAATTTGAGGCCAGCATGGTCTACGTAGCAAGTTCCAAGTCAGCCAGGGCTACATGGTGAGACCCTGGCACAAACAAACAATAAAATATTCTTATAGCTCATATGATAGTAATACATTTCAAATTTATTTTCAAAGCTAAAGCTGCAGAAGGCATTTCATCTGACAGTCTTCTTTCAGTCCCTGGACAGAAGAATGTGGACTCTTCTCCAGAAACCTCCCCTAGTGTGAGCCCCATGCCACATTCTTCATCAATTGCCAATCTTCAGACTGCTAGTAAACTTATTCTGAGTTCCAGACTGGTATATAGCCAGCCTCTGGATCTCCCGGAAGGAGTGGAAGTAATAAGAGCAACACCATCTGCAGGTAAAGTGTTTTTAAGACAGCAGTTGTGGGGCTGGAGAGGTGGCTCAGTGGTTAAGAACACCAGTTGTTCTTGCAGAAGACCTGGGTTTGAATCCCAGCATCCACATGGCAGCTAACAACCATCCATAACTCCAGTCCCAGGGGATCTGATAGCCTCTTCTGACCTCCTCGGGCATTGCACGACACGGGTGCACTTACCTACATGCAAGCATAACACACACACATAAAATTAAAAATAATAATAATAACAAATAAAATTTTTTTTAAAAGTTAAAAAAAAAAGACAGCAGTTGTGGCTCAGAGGGATTAAATGGATAAACTCTTGACATATATGCTACAATGACATTGAGGTATTTATTTTCTTGTAATGATATCAGTTTTAGAATTATGTTTTTGTTAGTAATGATTTTTTTATGCTAAACGTAATTAGCTGGGGAGAGAATTTTTTTTCTGTTCTTTTTTTCAATACTTTGTAGCTCAGGCTGACCTTGAACTCATGGCAATCTTCCTGTATTAGCCTCCTGATTTTTCTTTAAAGCAGCAGCTATCAAAACTTTTTCACACATACTGAATAAAGGTGAAACATGAGCATAGAGTGAATGCTTTCTTAAAATAGCATCGTTTTTGAGATGGGTTCACTAGGAAGCCCTGACTGGCGTGGAACTCACTGTGTAAACCAAACTGACTTTGAACTCAAAGAAATCTGCCTCCTGATTGTTGGGATTAAAGGCATGTGCCACTACTCCCAGCCTTAAATTTAAGAAATTTTATATTATTGTTTTTTTTTGTGTGTAGGGGGTGTGGGGGTGGTAAGGTGCGTACCACAGTGCACATGGAGGTGTATGGTAGGGTGCATACCACAGTGCACATGTGGAGCCTAGGGGACAATATGCAGGAGTCAGTTCTCTCCTACTGTGTCAACTCACAGATTAAACTCAGGTCATCAGGCTTGGGGGCAAGCACCTTTACTCACTGAGCCATCTGGTTGTAGTGGGGGAAAAAAGAGAACTTCAGTGATTTCACAAAAACATAACTGAAATTTTACCATTGTAGTATTCCCAAATGCAGACAAAATACCTTACATTAAACTATATACCAGGCCAACAAGATGACTCTGCAGGGAGGAACTTGTATGGAGGCCTGGCAACATGAGTTCTATTTCCAGATACTACAGGGTGGCAGGAGACCTCCATATGTGACACACGTGTACCTGTATACTCACATACACACTCACCACATTCACACACATACACACACACACATTAAATAAATAAATAATAAATAAATAAATAAAAATTCTTTAAAATTAAAGCTGGGTATGGTTGAGCATGCCTTTAATCCCAGTACTCCAGAGGCAGAGGCAGGTGGATCTCTGTCAGTTCGGGGCCAACCTGGACTACATAGCGTGTTCCAGGCCAGCTGAGACTACAGGGAGACCCTATCTCAAAAAGACCCAAAAAAATATTTAAAATTAAAAGATTTATTTCTTTTATCTAGTCATTCCAAGGCAAGTAATAACTGTTTCCTACTATTTAGATGGAACAGGCTCATGTGTTTAAATGGCTTTTCTATTCTTTCAAAGACATGGAGGAATTGTTACTTGAACCCAGGTCTTCTGATCCCACATTTTAGTCATTATCTTATAGTTGACAGTAGATGGGAAGTGTTAGTGGTTGTAGACAGGAATTATATGAGGGTTCTGGTTCATTTAAGCAAGGATGAATTAAACATGATAAAAAGAATGAGGTCTTTTGGTCTCAGATTTCGTCATTCTGTGATTGTGACTATTTGCTTTTCCCTTTCTCAAGGTCATCTGAGTTCCTCTTCAATTTATCCGGTGTGCCTTGCACCTTATTTAGTGGTCACAACTTGTTCGGACAATAAAGTACGCTTCTGGAAATGTTGTATGGAAACTAACCTACTGTGCAATACAAGTGATGATAAAGAAACCTATCATTGGAAGAGATGGCCTCTAATGAATGATGAAGGGGAAGATAATAGCAGTACAGTGAGCATTGTGGGAAGACCTGTTGCTGTTAGCTGTTCATACACAGGCCGCCTTGCAGTGGCTTATAAGCAACCTATCCACCACAATGGTTTTATTTCTAAAGAATTTTCTATGCATGTTTGTATATTTGAATGTGAATCTACAGGAGGGTCAGAATGGGTTTTAGAACAAACGATTCATCTTGATGATTTGGTTAAGGTTGGGAGTGTACTCGATTCAAGGGTCAGTGTTGACAGTAATTTGTTTGTATATAGCAAATCAGATGCACTTTTAAGTAATGATAGATACCTTATTCCAAATATCAAACATTTAGTACATTTGGATTGGGTGTCAAAAGAAGATGGCTCCCACATTCTCACAGTGGGGGTTGGTGCTAATATCTTCATGTATGGTAGGCTTTCGGGAATTGTTACTGAGCAAACCAATAGTAAGGATGGAGTAGCTGTCATTACTTTACCACTATGTGGTAGTATCAAGCAAGGAGTTAGGTCAAGATGGGTTCTTCTTAGATCTATAGACTTGGTATCCTCTGTTGATGGTACACCTTCACTGCCTGTTTCTCTCTCTTGGGTAAGAGATGGGATATTGGTGGTGGGAATGGATTGTGAAATGCATGTGTATGCCCAGTGGAAGCACTCTATCAAATTTGGAGACATTGAAGCCGATAGTCCTATAGAAGAGACAGCAATACAAGATCATTCTGCCTTTAAATCTAGTACGTTGGCAAGAAAAAGTATTGTTGAAGGAACAGCTGCTGCTGATGATGTTTTTGGTTCACCAACTGTAATTCAAGATGGTGGCTTATTTGAGGCTGCACATGTACTCTCTCCGACTCTTCCACAGTATCATCCAACTCAGCTATTAGAATTGATGGACTTAGGGAAAGTTCGAAGAGCTAAAGCTATCCTCTCTCATTTAGTAAAATGTATTGCAGGTGAAGTTACAATAGTTAGGGATCATGATGCTGGAGAAGGAACTAAGCGGCATCTTTCTCGAACCATTAGTGTAAGTGGCAGTACAGCAAAGGATACAGTCACCATAGGAAAGGACGGTACTCGAGATTATACTGAGATAGATTCTATTCCTCCATTACCACTGCATGCATTGCTTGCTGCTGATCAGGATACGTCCTACAGAATTTCAGAAGAGAGCACAAAAATGCCACAGAGCTATGAAGACCATATTGAAAGTCAACCAGAGGATCAGTATTCAGAGCTGTTCCAAGTCCAGGATATAACAACAGATGATATTGATTTGGAGCCAGAAAAGAGAGAAAGCAAATCAAAAGTAATAAATCTTTCTCAGTATGGACCAGCTTATTTTGGTCAGGAACATGCTAGGGTACTTTCAAGTCATCTTATGCACTCAAGTCTACCAGGCCTTACCCGCTTGGAGCAGATGTTCCTTGTAGCGTTGGCTGATACCGTGGCAACTACCAGTACTGAGCTTGATGAAAACAGAGATAAGAATTACTCAGGTAAAAATCTATTCTTTTTTTTTTTTTTTTTTTTTTGGTTTTTTTTTGAGACAGGGTCTCCCTGTAGCCCCAGCTGTCCTGGAACTCACTATGGAGACCAGGCTGGCCTTGAACTCACAGAGATCCACCTGCCTCTGCCTCCTAAGTGCTGGGAAAAAAATCTATTCTTAATAAAATATTGTATTATCTATATAATGACTGACATGTTGTGTTGACTTGTTTTTTTTTTTCAATCCTTGTGGGGAAAAAGGCCTAATAGATAATTATTATACAATAGCTTGTTTATCAAAGAAAAGACAGTTGAGGCAGGTCATTACTTGCATATATGACATAGATTTATGTCTGTGCATTCTCACATGAATACTTATACTGAAACCACTTCATGATTTTGGATATATAGTGTCTTGGTTTTCAAACAGATTGATTCCTGTGGTGGTGGTTTTCTTTGAGTGATAAAATGGCCCATGTTTTGTTTTATTGTAGAATCATGAAGCTTATAGGGATCTCATGAATCAACTTGCTTGTTTTTTCATTTTCATTTCATAGGTAACTTTTCATAGTTACATAATTTTCTTCAAATGTTCTCCTGAGAAATTGTTTTTCAGATAGTTAATGTAATATGTATCTTGCCCCTTGAAACTGGATTTCATCCTCCTGTGCAGATAGTTGAAGGTAACAGCATTGGTTATAAAGCAATGACATTAGGAAAAGATACAAAACTCTTGATCATTTATTCATTAATTCTTTGGTTTGTTCAATAAATAATATAAAGAATCACTTTGTGCCAGTTACTTTATGTACTTTATCCCATTATCATAATATTCTAGTAAGTAGGTAGGTATTACAGACTATATCTAGTTTTATACATGAAGATACTGATCCTTAGGAAATCCAGTGACTTATATAAGATCATATAAGCAAGTAAGTGGCATAAATGGGCTTCATATGTGGAAAAATTGTTGCTTTTAAGCCTATACTTAAAAGTGATAAGGTTTTCAAATTTGGGGGAATAAGAAATGTTCCTCCTAGCTAGTTAGTAGTATTTTTATAGATTTATATTAACAGTATATCCCTGCAATCTCCCTTCTGTAGATTAAAATAACCAGAAACCTTAAAGGGTTTTACCTATAACACATTTTTGGATTAAGTTAAGAAGGAACAAAAGCCCCTCACATTTAAGAGATTGTTTGTAATAGAGTAAAATTCTCAGAATAACCTTAAGCCTTTGTTGTATACTTAGTATTTGTGAGGTGTTTTACTCTGGGGCATTAAGAAAATAGTTAAGAGGTGGGGTGTGGTGGTTCACACCTTTAATTCTAGCACTTGGGAGGCAGAGGCAGGTGGATCTCTGTGAGTTTAAAGTCAGCCTGGTCTACACAATGAGTTCCAGGCCATCTGGAGCTACTTGGAGACCCTGTCTCAAAAAGCACAGACCAAGTGGAGCCTTGTAGATTACTGTGAAGATTCTGACTTCTGTTATAGTTACATGGAAGCCGCAGGTATATGCTGAGCAGAGGAGACATATAATATGACTTTGTTTCCAGTGAATCACTGGTTCCATGTGAAAGACATGTACACACACACACACACACACACACAAAGTGAAAATAAAATAGTTAATAATCTTTAAAGAACAGTTTAAGCTTTCTCATACGTGGCCTTATCATTGGCTAACGTATAAAAGATCACAGTGGGCTTTCATAAGGTAGATAAGGCAGGAATGAGTATTTTCATTTCATTGGTGGGACATGGAACTTAAAGATTAAGTGAAATGCACATATTGGCCAAAGAACGCTAAGTAAGAATTCTTCTGTTTGTTTGGATGAGACCACGTTGCTTAATCTTACACCTAAATCCAGCTCATTGGCAAATGCCCTCCTCTATCAGTTCTGTTATATCCAGAATCTAATAATTTTTTCCATTACCTGTGCAGTTACTACTGTGGTTCAAGTCACTGTTGCTTCCTTCCTGCCCAGTTATTGAGAAAGTCTCCTAACAGCTTCATCCATGTCAGTTCTGTCTTTCACATGGAACCAGTGATTCATTGGAAACAAAGTCATGTGTCTCCTCTGCTCAGCATATACCTGCAGCTTCCATGTAACTGTAATAGAAGTCAGAATCTTCACAGTGATCTACAAGGCTCCACTTGGTCTGTGCTTATTTCCACTCCCAGCATGGGCCTCTTTGTTACTCTACAGACACCTAAACATACTACTTTCTCAGGACCTTTAGACTTGCCTTTCCTCTGCATAGAATCCCTTCCAGCTTTATATATGACTCATTTCCTTACCTCCTCCTATTTCTGTGCATATTTCAACCTGTTGTAAAGTTCTTCCCTGGCCACATTATATGAAACAGAACACCCTTGCTTCAGCACCCCCATCTCTTATTCCTCCACAGCATTAATTTCCATATACTATTTATTAACTCTGCCTTATCCCCACTGCCTAAACTGTCTTATATGTAGTAAATGCTAAATTTGCTGAATGAATAAATGGATGAATAAATGGGGTATGGGAAATAGCATTGAAACTTAAGCTTTGGCAGTTATAAAAATATTTTTTCTTCTAGAAAATACTCTGTTCTTTGAGGACTTCCTACTTTCAGTTGTTGACTTAGGTTCTATCAGTGCTTTGCATGGCTGTTTTTATTAAAATGGTCATATTTTCATACCTTTTTCAAGTTTTGACTGTTTGAAATTCGCATATGTAAATTTGTGGAATATAGGTGAGAATTCAACTTAACCTTTTTAACCTAACAGTAACTATCCTTGAGAATCACATTTCAAATTTTTGGTAGTATTTTAGTCAAGCTAAACAGCCTAGAAAGTGTTACCTGTTTGACTATAATCAGGTTAACAGATGATTTCATTTTATTAGATTGCAAGATTTCTTTCATTTATTATGAGTAAAATATAGATGTTATTTGTACTAATAGGTAGTTTTATTCATGTTTTACAAAGCTACATTCTTTTCTTTTTTTTTTTTTTTTTTTTTCCCCCTTTTGTCCTTTTGAGACAGGGTCTTCTGATAGCTCCAACTGGCCTGGAACTGGCAATGGAGGCCAGGCTGGCCTTGATCTTACAGAGGTCCGCCTGCCTTTCCCTCCTGAATGCTGGGATTAAAGGAGTTCGCCATCATGCCCAGCTAAGATATGTTCTTTGTAAACACACTAAAATAGGAATTTGTGCATTAAAATAGGAATTTGTGAAGATTACTATTACAGTTTGATATTTATTTCATACTTTTTAAGTCAGTTTTTGACCTGTTGAATTCCTTTTTTCTTAAACATATTTTCTGCTTAAAATTACAGGAAGAGACACTCTAGATGAGTGTGGTTTGCGATACTTGTTAGCAATGCGCTTACATACATGCCTTTTGACGTCATTGCCCCCTTTATACCGAGTACAGCTCCTTCATCAAGGTACTTCACTGTTTAAATCTTTGCACAACTTTTATTTAATGTTGAAGTATAATAATAGGTAGATACTGTGTTCATGTTTGTGTATAAGCAGCATGTGGATCATATATACATAGCTCTCAGTAGCCTAAAGATCTTCCTGTCACATGGTACCCACTTACCATTTTCCTGTGAATCCTTCAGGTCCACTCATCCCTGTGACCTTTTAATAGCTCAATTTCTGAGACTTAAAATATTTTTATGTATTTATGTGTGTTTGTGTGTGTGCATTTGTGCGAGTGCGCAAGTGTGGAGGTCAAAAGAGGGGACCAGCCGAGTGTGGTGGTGCACACCTTTAATCCCAGCACTTGGGAGGCAGAGGCAGGGGGATCTTTGCGAGTTCAAGGCCAGCCTGGTCTACATAGTAAGTTCCAGGACAGCTGGGGCTACAAGGAGACCCTGTCTCCAAAAGACAAGAAAAAAGAAAAAAAAGAGGAGATCAGATACTCTGGAACTGGAGTCATAGGTGGTTGTGAGCCACCTAACATGGGTGCTGGGAATTGAACTCAGGTCCTCTGAAAACGTAAGTGCTCTTAACTGCTGAGCCATTTCTCTAGCCCTCAGTTTCTGAGACTACTTGGCAAAGTTGTAGGAGGAAATGTGGTATGCCTGAGGTTATAACTCAAAGTGACTCTCTACAAGGTGGCTCTGAATTTATCTGATGTCTTTTAAGAATTATGTAAATATTCTTTGTGTTACCTTCCCTCTTTCCCTTCTTTGCTCCCTTGTTCCTTTCCTCCTTTCACCCCTCTCCTCCTCCTTTTCCTTTCTTTTCATATGATCTCATTGTGTAGTCCAGGCTGGCATTGAACTCTTGGTGATCCTCCTGCCTCAGCTTTCCAAGTCCTGGGGTTACAGGCATGCTCCAGCAGGCTCAGATATATTTATTTTTATGTAAGTATTATGTTCTTAGTTGCCAGCAGGTAAAATTGATGTTTCAAGGATATCTGCCTTATTGACCCAGTGCATTTGTATAAGTTGAGCATAATGCCACACCTGATTTGAGACATAAGATTTATGTTTTACTTTCAGGTTGAAATGTAGAACTACAGAATCTTAGAGTGACTACCCAGGATAGACTCTATTTGTAGACATGGAATTAAACCCCCAGTCCAGTGCTTATTTCCATAGACTATATACTTTTTGAAACCAAAAACCTTATATGGGGCTTAGAATGTAGGTTTAGAATCCTAAACTTCATGGACTGTTGTCCTCACTCAGAGCACTTCTCCTTTACCCTATAAATACTCTTTGAAAATAAGATTTATTTCAATTTTGTTATCTTTAAATTTGTGTTATTTTTAAAATGTTTCATTTATTTTAAAAAAATTTATGTATATGAGTGTATTGCCTGTATATGTGAAAGTGCACCTCTGCTGTGAAATGCCCGTGGAGGTCAGAAGATGGTCTCAGATCCCCTGGAACTGGAGTTCCAGATAGATGGTTGTTAGCCACTTTGTGGGTGCTGGGAATTAAACTTGGGTCCTCTGTAAGAGTAGTTAGTGCTCTTAACTGCTGAGCCATCTCTCCAGCCCCAGAAGTCTTTATACTAATTTATAAAGAAAAAAATTGTATATAACTTCATACTTTTGAGGGACTTGTGTTATAATGTGATCATTGTTAATCTCCGACATCTCTGTTTCCAAATGGGTTTATGTAGATGGCTGCTTAGACTAGTTCTCTCTCCCCCTCCCCATCCCCCTCCCCCTCCCCCTCTCTTCTCCTTTCTCTCCTTTTTCCTGGTGCTGGGGATCCACCCAGGGCTTCATGTTTGTTAGGTGAGTACTCTGCAGCTGTGCTGTGTGCCATCTCTGGCAA